ATTGCAATAGGGAAGGCGGATGGTGTCCTCCCCAGTCACAATACGATATAGAAAAAAAAAATCTACATTGATATTTGATAGCAAAGTATCTATACATATAACCCTGAGCACAAATATTGGTGCAAGCAGCCAAGGTTTTGAAAGGCGAAATCGAGCCCTGAGGCGGTTTGGTGGTAGATAATTCATAATAATAGTTCAGCCATACGGAATCAAGTAAAATAACAATAAAATATCCAAGTTGAAATAACAATAACATAAAACTCTAAAATACCAAAGTCAAAAGAACATAAAGCACTAAAATATCAACTATAGCCTATAGGTAAATAAATAAAATAATTGATAATCAACTTTAATAAAGTCACGATTTTATCTAAAGTGTAATTAACCAAATTACAACAATCTTAATGAATTTATAAAACTCCAATGATTCTAATAAAGTAAATTAATACTATGTAGATTGTTAAGACAAATTCGTAAATGATAACCATAAATGATAAATTGATAATTCTAAAGTGTGAACGAATAAACTAATAAGTAATACAGAGTAATAGATATGAAGGCTAAATGATTCGAACCGTAAGACTATAGCCTGGTAGAGAGTAGTAGTACAAATATTCTAAAGTGCGTAGTGCAAAACTTGAAGTTAAATAATAAAAAAAATCAAAAGTCAAAACACGATAAAAAACAAAAGCAATAAAGCGGACAGCAGTGAACAGAGCAGTTGAAGAAGACGACTCAACGAGGACACCTAGTTTGTCGACTAAGCGGAGAATGAGTATTGAACGACGGTCGTATATTAGTTGTTAGGACTTAGGAGGAAAATTAAAAAAAAAACGAGGCCCATACTTTTAAAATCTCAGCCCAACCGTGGAATCTCAGGCTTACGCACCAACTACGCCTCAACGCCCACCGCCTTCGCCTCTACGCTTCATCGCCTCATCAAAATAGATGCGTAGGCCTTAGTAACAGCAGGTAATGCTTAAGCCTTATAAGCGCTACAGGAACGCCTTTGCGCCTTTGCGCCTCAGGGGCGTAAAAGCGAAACGCCTTTTAAAACCATGCAAGCAGCAGGTAATAGGGTAGAGAGGAACAAATTTCGAAACAATTACAACAACTAGAAAGTCAAGTGGAAAATCTATGAAGAAACAGAACAACAATTGTCCAGAAGGTGAAGTACAAACAATTAAGTATTGCCCTTTTCTTGTGCTCAAATATACTAAGTAATATTTTGAAATTCTCAAGAGCACGAGTTAGTTCCATCAGCAAGCATTTTTGGACCGTTGTTTGGCGGGATGGATACTCTTCACTCTCCAGCAGCAGACAAAAATAAACATGGATTCTCAATTTTAGGCCAAGTATTTAAATATGTTAGGATTCTCCTTGTCCCTTTCAAGGTAGTCCCTTGTGATCAAATCTTCAATCCTCTTTTTGATTGCTTTGACATCAGGCTGGAAATGTACAATTTCAAATAAAACATTGAAAATAGATAGATGCAATGAAGAGAGATTTTGTAAAAAAGCAAAGAACACTTGAGATTATTAGTTTACCTTAAACATGCGACCCAACTGCTCAACACATTCCATGACTAGCTGCTGATATCCCAACACTTTCCTACTCTTCATAATGCGCACAATTGAAGCATCGATTGCATATCTTCGGTCTTTATCAACATCTTCAATTACTTTTTTCTTCTCATCCACAGGAGGGAGAGGGATCTACATTTTTCACAGTACATATTTCACCAATTCTTAGCAACCAATTGCAATAACACACATAGACACACAACAAGCTAACTAGCTTGATATGGAATAAGAGAGTGATTTGAATGATTTTTTTTATGGGATGCATTTTTTCATGGAAGGAGGTACTTTAACTTCCCAAAAAAGTCTGGCTGGAAAATAGAAAAAAGTGATCTGAACGGTTGAAAAAAAAAATATGAACACATATTCCAGAAAAGAACTTCAAGGGCTTAAATAAGAAACCCCTATATTATCCCAAACAGGATCTTACTTTTATCCTCCTCATTTTGTCTGTGAATTTAGAGTTGAACTCAAAGACATCTGAAGGGGATATAGTCTTGGTGCTTGGCTCCTTGGTGAGGATCTTATATTTTGCACATGACAATGAATGGAGAAGTCTAACAACATCATCATCTGAAAGATTTAACTGTCCCACAATTTCTTGATAACTCAACCTATTTGATGCATTGAATAGCAGCAGAGTTGAAGCCTATTGAAAGTAGTTTAAAAAAAAAAACTATTAGTTGTCCACACCCTTCTGATAATTTGCATTTGTAGAGGTAATAAGAGTATACACTGTTTAAGAACCTGGTAAGTAGTCACAATCATCTCTATAGTTTTCTGCTCAAAGTGTCCACTTATGTTACAAATACCCAATGAGTATATCCATGTAAGCTTCCTGTGCTTTGTTTTTGTTTGGTAGAACTCTCTAAACACTTCAACACATTTAACCTGAAATACATGTTCAATGCAGTAAAAAATGATGTCAAGGCTATGTCACAAAAATAAAAATAGGAAAAAGATAAAAACAGTGCGACGGCAGAAATAACAATCCCACTGAAAATTGCTTTATACACTTTTTCATCCAAATATTGACCCCTTTTTCATCCATACTTTCCTTGCTAGCACTCCGCATATACTTCACTCCACTGCTCACTTTGAAACCTAAACTATCCCTACACTTCGGAAAGCTTAATATCCTACCGCAATAGTGCTTGCCGCAATTCATAGACACAACCATCGCACCTACTCCTTTATTTTTCTCATTGTTCTCAAGAATCTCAACATTTATTATGTTTCAAATCTAGCCACACAAACTCACAAAGGTATGGGACATTGGGGATATCAAGGGTATCATTCCTTCTGCTTCCCTCTTCCCAAGTCAGTTTAGGCTTCTCTTTTCTTGGAAATGAAAGGCTAAATCTCAAGGAAGAGAAGTTTTTGTTGAAAAACATATATTCCATTTGTCCCAAAACACAAGGCCATTTGATTTCAGCAAAGTTTTAATGAAAAGAAAAACTGTTTGATGATATGATGTATTTTCTAGAAAAATGTCTCTCAAATGAGCCCCACAATGTCAAATCAACCCAATAGTTTCAGAGGGAGAAATGTGAATTGGATAAAAGGAAAAAGTTTGTGATATTAAAAAACATTAATTTTGGACAAAGTAAAAGGGAAGTAAAGATAAATGAAGTGGGATAAAGCCAGGCAGTAACAACGTAAATCATAGACAGCAAAGTGCTAAAATTAAACTTGCATGTGGTGAAGTGATAAAATAAAAAATAAAATAAAATAAAAACAATCAAATGAGCAATCGCCTCATCTAATAAATTAATAATAGGTATTAAAGACTTCTATAGGAGTATACCATCTCAGATGGGAGGTTAAGATCGAAAGACTTGTAGCTTGGCCAGAAGCCAGTAGTCAGAACAGTAACAGTCAGGTCAATACCAGGGCTTGCAACTGGATTATTATTGAGATACTCCTCAAAACTAGTTTGATTTTCCCTTGCCAATGTCAAATCAGTTACCTAGAAGGTCAGGTAAAACAGGACATAGAAAAGTCAATTGAAAGAGAATGGCATGTCAAACAAGTAGGTGTACAGATAACAATCTATAGGAGCTTACCATCCCCTCCATCTTTGATGTGAATTGACCACCACATTGCTGCTTCAGCTTTGTTAAGATACTTCTCTCATGTTCGTCGTTAGCACTCTTATCAAATAAGAGCCTTCTAGCTAACTTCTTCCTATTGACAACAAATTTAATGGTGTCAGAATTGAAATTGCTGCTGATGTATGATGATAGTCTATCATTTGGACAGTTACCATCTACCATCCAACATTCCAGGCTATAAACTATCATTCTAGGGAGTCATGGAGTATCATTGTAACAAAAAGGAATCTTATATCCACTACAAAGACCAAGACACATATTCTTATGAGAACACCAAGAAGATACAACAACAACAACAACAAACAAACAAACAACACCAAGAAGATACTATTTAGAATATTATATACAAGATTGCCCTAATCTGTCTTGACTTGCGCTTAAATTTATGCGTCCACAGTGCAAGCAGGTGAAGCCTATGAGCCACCATTGGATCTTCAAACCCTCCCTCTCACATGGTAATAGTGCCAAAATCCAGTTTACCATAAGAAACTAGCTCATCAAAATCCTCCCCAAATGACCATCACCACATATTTTGTCAAATCCTTCTCTTCGTCAGCTGCTGCACCAGTCATTCAACAGTGTTACTTCACCCGATGCCACCATAAAACACTGCCTCTCCATTGCAGCTGAAAAGTTGCCTCATTCACGCTCCACAACTTCCTTTATTACCCTCAAGTAATGACTCGTTACTTCAAATTATCCCTACTCTTTGCCATTCTTGACTGTAGTATATTTTCATTTTTCATCACTGATTGTTGTTTCACTTTGAAGCTTGTATCCAAATGTCACCAGTTACACTTTGATATTCCACATCTGTTTCCAGTTTTTAAATGGTATACTTGAGCTGAGACATTCCCCAGAGTACCCCAGCAGTGCCAAAGATTGTTAACCTTGTATCTGAATCTGGATATGTGGTCCTTATCATTTAACTTGATTCTACTCAAATCTCAACCACAACTTTTACTTTTCAACCACTTTATTAATAATCGTGCCAAATTAAAACAGGACAACCAATATGGAATGGAGGTAGTATATCTTATCTCTATTTTATTTTATCTTTTTTTGTTAACTATTTTTATCATACCTTATCTTTTTATCTTTCTTTTCCTTTTGGCTCTGATATCATTTACCGTCTACCGATTTAGCCGACCTCAAAATCTTCTGGGACTAAGGCTTGGATGTTGTTGGTTGTTGTTGTATCATAACAACTATCTACCGTGTCTATGATTTTTTTATAGATTTTTTCATGTCCACCTGGTCACATATGTGTCAATAATTCCTCGTGAGTCGTGACTTGTTTCTCAAAGTCATCCTGTTTTCAACTACACATGTGAGTTAATACAACTTTAGCTAGAAAATAGCTACTGCCACCTACAATGAGAAAAACAACATGGGTAGCTGTTTTTTAGCTGAAGTTGTGTTAGCTCATAAATGTAGCACATCCAAATATCCCTGATGGAGAGTGACTGTTGCATCTAGGAATCGTGTAAAAACTAAAATGGGGTGGGCTAATGGGCATACTTGATTAACAAAACTTCTGTCGCACCACCCTCCTCCGCTACGCTCACATATTTTCCTACAGTAAATGAAAAACTCCACACAAATGGGTTATGCTAAAAAACTTTCATCTTTAAACTTACATGAATAATAATAATAATAATAATAATAATAATAATAATAAATTATACCAAAGGACTCGCAATTCTTCACATGCTACTTAGTTGAATAAGTGGTGCCAAATTCTTCTCCATCATTTTGATTTATTCACCAACATCATCTGCGCTTGAATCTGCCTCATTGTCCTCAATCTCATGCACTTAATGACTTGGAGACAAAGATTCTATTCCTACTTTTGTGTTACAATTCTACAGACTGGTGGGCTTTACATATGGTATAAGCGTATAGGTTTATAAGTAAATTAGACCATCCCATAACTGAAACAGGAAAATGACGACTAAATGGAAAAGTAGACAAAGCGCAAAAATCGCTTGCCTTTTGCCTCGTGGAAAGAACATGTTTGGTCCTTGTGCACCTTTGACTACCTAGGCTACCTCTATATGCTAATATCATTCTTTCTTTATAGCCAATAAAGATGGAAAAGAATAGTACAATGCCTTGTAAAAGTCAGCACTCAGTAGTAAACTCACATTAAAGAGAACGACAGAAATACATAAGGCATTAACCATACCAGATACGTAGTATTCCATAGATGATTACACGCTAAAGGACAAAGAGTAAATGAATAGGAAAAAAGTGACCAGAGAATTTACCTATAGAATTCTGCAAACAAGTCCTTATCACTTATATAAGCAAGCAGCTTTACAACCTGAAAATATGAAATTATTAGCAATATATCATCGCTTGTAGGCTTGTTTGGTGGTGGGGGTGGAGGGGAGGGGAGGGGAGGATTGATTTTTATTTAATAGTTTGTCTCTATTGTTTAGTTCAACTATTTATTTTTAAACAGTTTTCCATCATCACTTTCTTTCCACCCATCTATAAGTAAGAATAAATTGTTATAGTAAAATAAATATCACCCCTCCACTCCAATCTGGAACTCCCCATAAGAAAAAGGATAAGAGAAACACTCTGGAAGACAGGAAATCAGAAATATACCTTCTCCAGTGTCTCCTCAATGGCTTCATCACTCAATTTCTCACACCCACCCTTTTTCAGAATGTTGTCACAAAATGTTGCAAGAAGTTCAGCATTCGAGCTCCCAGCAACACCCTTGTTGCAAAAAACTTCGAAGGCTTCCTTTAGTGCCTGAACAGAAATAAAAGATTACATAACTAATTACACACTTATGCATGGGAGTATGGGACAACAAGATGATGATAGTGTTCTAGTTACTAACCTTGTGGAACAGTGTGTGGTTTTGAAAACAATCATTTACATATGCCAAATATTTATCATGAAGTTCAATCACTTTTCGAACAAAAACCTGAAACATTTCTCAGTTAGTGAATAACCAATACTTCAAGAACACCTAGATATTCAGGAACTTTTAGAAAGACCAAGAGTTCAAGAATACCTGTTCCTGCATACCAACAATATCTTTCTTTTCTGCCTGTAAAATAAAGTCACTACTTAGAAGACAGTTTTAACTTTCCACTCAGTCTTTAAGTACACTATGACTTTGTAATATATTTTCCTCTAAAACCACACGAAAAGAAAATATTGCCATTTGCCAAGCTATATGCAAAGAGAGAAATCCATTCCACTGTTAGCCTGATATCCCCTCTTCAAGAACGACCATGATATCCAAACAGTAAAATTCACTCTGTGCAGTTCGCACAGCAAACATTATGGAGGTAACACAAATGTAAACCTTTTTATGGCTTGCCGCATCTTCAGCTTGTTTAACCAGTGTCATGCCTTCAGCAGTTATATGCTACAAAAAAGGAAAGCACAATACTAAGTAGTTCCACAAAATCTATGAGTGATTAGATTTTTTATCTTCAATTTCAGAGAGAGTGTAAGAGTGAGATCTCATACCTGCTTAAAAGTATTAGCGACTGGTTCTAAGCCTCTAGGTATTTTAGAGAAAAGCCTATACATTCTTGACAAGTCCTCCACCTAAAACAACAACAACATCCAAGCCTTATTCCCAAAGGATTTTGAAGTCGGCTAACATGAATCGGTCCATGATAACGGACCCAAATAGAAAAGAAAGATAAGAAAAATAAAAAGATAAGGTAAGATAAAAAAAAAAGTAAGATAAAGATAAAGATAAACAAAACATAAGAAAGATAAAGAACATAAAAAGATAAAAGAAAGAGAGAGAGAAAAAGAGAAAAGAGATAAATTAAACGCCTCAATTGACTGTGACTTCCTAAATAGACAAATGCAAAGACTTCCAAAGATAAGTTGTTACTTGAGTACCTTGTCATCTCTGAGTAATGCATGACACCCAGAATGCTCCTTCTCAAGCAATTGGGTGGCATACACAGCTAGCAGCTCATGTTGTACTTGCTGCAGTAATAAATAAGTAAATAAATCACTTGAAAGGGAACGAAAATTAGCTTCGCCCATGTTGATAATCTAACTGTCAAGGAAAGAGCAGCTGGCAAGATTGTCAACAAAAAGCAAAACATAACATGGTATATGAGAGAACCTCAAGCAATTTTGTCTCACTACTTGAATGTAGATAATGAGAGACCCTATCCTTCTCACGTTTCAAACACTCCTCAGCCTAGAGATCCAAAAAGAGATAATTAGAAACTACTGCAATCGGAGAATATCATAGCGAAGCAAGATTCAGAAAGAAGAACCAATGGGGGGAAGGTAAAAATATTAACTTTCAACATATAATCAGGACATGAATCGTCTAAGATCCAGCTTGAGGCCTTTCGAGAATAATAAGCAGCAGAATCCTTTAGCATCGTAGCTTCAAAGTCATTCTCATAATAATCCATTTGTCCCATTCCTATTTCAACAAATATGTCGAGCACATTCTTCAATAATGCTCTATCAATCTGCTCACTCTCGCGCTCTTGATCAATCTGATTATCAATATTGTCAGTTAACATCTGAGACCCAAGCGAAGAGAGAGTAAGAAACATCTCACCAGCAGAAACATACCAGAGATATAACAGCATCCCTCACTTTTGCATTCAACTCTAGGTACACCTGAGACAACATCACATGTCCAACTTAAGATACATGGCAAAGTTTGAAAGAAAAAAATTATATAAGAAAAGTGATTGCAAGTGCGCAAAAAGGCACAAACAACATGTTAAATTCAACTTCATTTAACCATTGACACTGGTACTAACCGAAAGGGGAATGACAGAGAGACACATTTAACAGCAGGAAAAAACAATACATCCATTTAGGGCGGAGCATGGGGGTTGGTAGTTATAAGTTACCACTTACCAGATCACGGAAGCATGCTAATCCAACTTCATTGAGACCTGGTAGGGATCTCCTGGTAATGAAATAACGATCCAGGTAATAGAAGAACCTTGACAACCACCTCACCATGATTTTGTGATTTGACCACCTTTTCACCAACTCTCTTAACATAAATTCATCATGCTTCTCTCTCAAAGAAGGCAGCACCTGATTTTTTTAAAAAAATGTACTGTTACTACAGTAGTTCTCGCAATCTCAATTATACCAAATATATAAAAAGCAGCCAAGGGTTTGTCATAGCCTCAAAAGGTAACCACTTTATATTTTGTTCAAATTCAACAGGAAAACCATGTTATGGTTCATTGTTCTCACACCTTGGCTTTGCTCTTCAATTTCAACAACTCTAACATGAGTTTGACCATATGCAAGTATGTAAAGTATATATAAATAGCAGTTCATAATACAGCGTTTGCGGTTGCACAGTTCTATTCAGGAGTATATTAACTGTATTAGTTCCAAAGCAACTGCATAAAACAACTAACCGTTGATGTAATATATTCCTCAAAGGACTCCCGATATTTGTCATACAACTGCTGCGAATAATCATGAGGTGGTTTTTGGGTGCACATATTGTAAATTGTGCTGTAGATGATATTTAAGGAAGCAAAAAACTCTAGTTCACTAAGAAGTTAAGAATCAATAGAGTGTCCATAATGTGGTTTCTAAAAGGATACGTGTATAACATCATATACTCCTCGGAGCTGAATTGTGGCTCTGGTAGCTCTTCAAGAATGTTCTTCAGCTTTGTTATGCCACGCTGCATGAAGTCCCATCCTTGTTCTAAATCTATTGTCGCGCGCTGATTCATTGTCATGATGGTCACTCCAAAACTTCAAATTTTAGGACGTACGCCTCAAGTTTCACAATCCAACACAACACCTGTAATTTCCCCATCCAAACTGAATCACATATTCTCAAGTATGAAGCATCTTTCATCCAAAGCAATTGCCAAAGAATAGTAAAAACAGACCGAACCTAACCAAATGAAATGATTCTGGTTATCAACTTTCAAACCCATATTCCGAGTAAAACTCTGAAATGAAGTAAGATATCTCCAAACAGAGCTTCTACAGACTGAATCCGTTGAAATTTCTCAAATTTCACAATAAAAAAATGAAAAGGAGAACGCAGATTTTACACATAGACTGATGCGTGTAAGTGAAAAAAGATAATAACTTCGTGCTCGAACTTTTGCATACGCACCTATCTGTATTTGTATATGCAAGACCTTGCTAGGGGAAAGCGATCGGAGCTCCAGAGAGGATCGACGGAAACAAGAAGAAAGAACCAGGGTATTTGCAAGATTGAATTTGTGAATCTAGTCTTTCTTTTCTTTCCTACCATTCAAAAAAAACTACTGAACTCACCGTGTCAAGGACTCATGGTCTAAGAATTTTCCTTCAAATTATTCGTGCTCACTAATTTAAATTACAATATTAATTTATGAGAGCATCTATCTCTATGGAATATTGATATAACTTCAAGCAATAAACAAAACACACTTATAATATATATTATAATTAAAAAGAGAGCACTAAGCATTACTTGAAACATAAAAAACATCCAACAAATACTTATAAACCATAACATTGTAAATATACATTTCATATAACCCTAAATATTGTTGAACACTTGGAATACAACTTTCTGAGTCTTGTCAGTGGTTCCTTCTTCTTCATCAATACCCGTGTGATGCACGATTGGTGAAATTTTAATTCAAAAATAAACAAACTTGTAATTTTAATTGAATTGTTTAGAATTATACTTCATACAATAATAAAACTTGACGCAAATGAAACATATAAAATAAAATTTACATATAAACACAGAGTAGTACATTATTTTTTATACCCCACAAAATAGTAAGTAACACGACATATAAACATCATTTGAAAACAAATTACATTTCATGGCAAATTTTATGAAACATTTCTTTGTACATTCTGTCTAGCATTAACTCTTGTTAAAAGAGAAATTACACTAAATAGAACAAAAAAGTGTTATGTATTCCAAAATTGGACATTAAGCATGATAATATTTGTCAAGCTTGACATTAATTAGGCCTATTTTGGCCATAAAAATATGACAATCTTATTTTGGAATTCTCAAACTTATTTACTCATATTCAAAAAAATTCCCTTATGAAAATCCTTCATTCAAGTAAATTTTTGACAAAGATTTTTTTCATTTTCAAATCAAAGGTCTATATATGTTAACTGAAGGTATAAATTTTTATAATTACTAAATAATATGGTGACATTACATCTTTACGAATTGCATTATTTAGACGAATTGCTGATGTAACCTGGCAAATCAGGGGGTTATGCAGATATGTGAAAATGTGTTATGTCTTTATCTATACGAATTACATTATTTAGATGAATTGCTGATGTAACCTGGCAAATCAGGGGGTGTGCAGATATGTGAAAATGTGTTATGTCTTTATCTATTCGAATTGCATTATTTAGACGAATTGCTGATGTAACCTAGCAAATCAGGGGGTGTGCAAATATGTGAAATGTGTTATGTCTTTATCTATACGAATTGCATTATTTAGACGAATTGCTTATGTAACCTGACAAAACAGGGGGGTGCAGATATGTGAAAATATGTTTTATCTATACGAATTACATTATTTAGACGAATTGCTGATGTAACCTGCCAAATCAGGGGATGTGCAGATATGTGAAAATGTGTTATGTCTTTCCTAAACTATACTTAAATATAAATTTATGAGAAATTCTTCAAATACGGAGTAAGTATTTATACATATAATTTTTTTAGGTATATATGTATATAACTTTTTTAAATGATTACATAAATACGATTAAAATAAAGGTTGTTTATGAAAATGTGACATGTTAAGCATAGTTACAATGGTCGAAATACTTTTTTACATCTTTAATTTTTTTTTATCTAAAGTCACCAAAACAAAATTCAACCCCAAAATTATTTAACTTCATTCTTCTTTAGAGAATTGCACTTTCTCTAAATGAAAGGAAAATGAAATAGATATTGTCTTTACATTACAAATTTAGTATCATTTATATCATTATAATGACACAATATATGCGCGGATGACTTGCCATGAAAACATCTTGCCACCACCATCTTGCTTGTTAATCTGTTCCCCTGATATAGAAATGTTTAAATTACAATTATTTGTGTTTTGTACGTAATAAAACTTTTAAAATAGATTTCATAAAAAATTGTAATCATCATCATCACCCCGGTGCCGCAAAGGCTCCCACATACGGTGGGGTAAGGGAGGTCAGATGTACACAGTCTTATCACTGTACCAAAGCATAGAGAGATTGTTTTTGAATAACCCATAGTGATCACGACGAAAAATGCATAAACTGACTGTTACTCCATAACGAAAAAATGCAGACATTTTAGTGAATCATTTCGCTGTATTCCATCATTGACTATACAAATTAAAATTATCATTAAACACTCCCACTTACCCGTGCCTCTCAAATATAATCACAATAAATTGATATCCACTAAAATCAAAGGCATTTTCATTAAAATATGAAATAGGCTATTAACAAAATCACTTGATGATTCCCTTACTCTGAATACATTAAAACTACTTCTTGAATATAATTCAAGAAAGGCAAATGAAGATTTTTTGAAAACGTATTCATTAGTTTTGAATTGAACTCTTGTGTATGTATATACATTAAAAAGTAGATATTACAAAACGACTTAACAAATTAACAAATATATCACTACTCCAATTGTGACAACCCAACCAACAATGCCTCTTAAGCTCAACGTTGAAAATTATGAAAAGCTGGAAAGATTGTGTTTTTCATTAAGTACATCCATCCAAACACAACTTTAAAATCCTTACTAAGTTCATATCAATTTTTTGCAGTCCAAATACGGAGTATTACTTTGGGACCCTAATAATTTATGTACTAAATACTGATAAATCCATTTAATCCACTATTAGGCCCAATAAATAACCCACTATATGATAAAACCAACTCACGGTAACACCAGCCCAACAATAACCCTTTAAACCAACGAATAGGGTTATTGAAATTTCATTTCCACTGCCCACAGCCAAAATCGGATCTTCAAGAAACCACCGAATCATCCCTCCCATGCGAACCGGCAAAGTAACCGACAAATATGGGTATGGGGTTCAAGAAGCCACCGACGAATACCCGTCAGCCACTTCATGGCTAATCAAATTAACCGATCACTTCTTCAACGGAATCATGTCGTCGATCTAGAACGGTAAGACGCAGAGCACAGAAGATCTTCCAAGGGTACCGTAGCAAAATCTATAGATCAGTATGTGCATGATATAGTTTTCAGTGAGAATCTATTCGTAAAGTCCAATTTTTTGTTACATACAAATCTATTCTCAAACTCAAAGGGCTTGTATAAATTTCGATTTCTATTATTCTTTGATGGAATCGAGCGTGGATTCTTACTCACGAATACCTTGAGGCTATCCAAGTCAAGTTTTAGAACATTATAATAAATCTGTTTATTTCTTTTACACGATATATCTTTATAATTTAAAGAGCCATCAAGATATGGATAGCAAAGGCTATCCATATCTACATGATAATATGCGCCTTAAATATTTTATTATATTTTGATGTATTAATACTTTAAACATCTGATGCCCTCTTCCTTAAAATATCTTTATGAGTGTTTGGGTGAACCACCAATATAAGAGAGCTCATACTCTGCACTAAAATGACACTCAAAGTATGTAGTAGAACCAAAGTAATCCTTAACTCAGAACTTGCCTACGAACACACCTTCAAGACCCATTGAATAAAATCTGAATTAAAGAAATAAATAACAAAATTTTAAGACAACAACAAACATTGAATATTAGTAACAACCTATGAAAACAACCAAATAGATACACAATAGGCAACCGTAAAACAAAATGATATAAATTGTTTGACTTTTTAATTGATCATTAGTTTACCATCATCAATTATTTGCTAATCACACTTCTGATGATCTCTTACATTGTTATAGGCTTTGTAACATGTAGTGATTCAGATCATCATTTCTGAATCAAAGGGCCTAGTACTAATTTGTGGATTTGTTATAGCAAAGGGCCTATCAAATTAGACAAGCAAACATTAAAGAGCCATTTGCTACAGCAAAGGGTCTGAAGCAGAAGCGGAGATCCCAGGTATGTCTCTCTAACCCACTTTTTTTTTTCCGGCCTTACAGTTACAACACTATCCTTTGTTTTTTAACACTTTCAAAATATAGATAAAATAAAATGGTTGAGAAAACGACCATGTCATAATATAATGGCTAGAAAAATTACCATCATACAATCCATAACTTCATTATTTTACTGAAATTTAATGACAAATAAATGTAGTACTGAAAACTCTATAAGTTACTACTGCTAAGTAGATATCTTTCTACTGTCCCCATCAACGTCTAGGGTCATTCGTTGTTATTCCTTCAACAAAAGGACTGTTTGCAGACACACACCGGGAAGAGCCAACCTGAAGAAGGAGGAGGAGGAGGAGGAGGAGGCATGTGTGTTCTGTTAGAATATAAAATCAAGGTACATGAAAAGAAAACTACTAAATTTAAAAACAAACATCTGGAATGTTTATTTCAGTGTCATTCGGGGAATCTTGGGTGTGTCACTCTTTAAATATCCCATTGAATTTAGCGATGAACTGATCTGGGATGTGAATCTTGAAGCCCTTATTTTTTCAAGACAATCGGTTCTTTTATGTTAACCTACTCACAATGAAATACAACTTCCATTGATTCTGGGAAACTGTCATGAGCTATTCAATCTGCTTAATCATAGATCACATACCAACCATGTTAAAATAGTGTATTGACTATTTTTTGCAATTTCAGGTTTGATGTGCGGATGGATGTGGGAAGTCTAATGGGGACTTGCTGCTTTTATAGCTGAACCTTACTGTGCTTCATTCAACATGGGGATGAGATACACTCAATCTTATTAACTGTTCCCACCACCCGGTTGAACCAATAGGAGCATTCTACTTTAATAAACTCTCACCAGCTACCAATCTTAACCACACGAAAGAAATTTGATATCTATCACAAACAGTACACCGACCTAATCACCCAATAGAAACAAATGCGAAATTCTTAAATAGTGCAACCGACTTCAAAATCCAATAAAAATCGGACACCATTCACCAATTTCTTGCAAATTAATTTCTCGGGCTTGAAAAATTGGACACCAACTTCCTGCAAATTAAATTCTCGGTGTTGATAAACAGTGCAGCGTACTTCAACAGCCAATACAAATTGGACACCAACTTCCTGCAAATTAAATTCTCGGTGTTGAAAATTTTGATGACAAAAATTGATTTTGCAATTTATTTTGATGGAGAAATAACCAA